GATCACAAAAACCTGGCTTACATGCTAAGATGCTAAACGATTGTGTTCTAGACAAGCTAGGTGGTCTCTTTCTGTTTCTTTCTCGCTTTAATTTTCTTATTACTTATAGACCTGGTTCTAAAAATGTCAAGGCCGACGCCTTATCCAGACAGATTTTTATTACTATACAGTCTATACAAGAGCAAGAAAAGTCCCATATCATTCCCCCGGAATGTATCATTGCTTCCACTATCCTTTCATTGTCCTCTCCGCTGCTTGGCTCCATCATGGAGGCTCAGTTTCAGGCGCCCTGCGGTAAACCTCAGGAAATATTGTTCGTTCCATTGGGGGAAAGGGTTAATATCATGAAGGTGTTTCACGACAATGTGTCTGCTGGTCACCCAGGTATTAATAAATCCACCTCTGCTATCATGAGGTAATTTTGGTGGGATTCTCTCAGGAAGGATGTTAAGGAGTACGTGCAGGCTTGTTCTGTTTGTGCGGTTTCCAAAGTACCTCATAAACTCCCTTGTGGCTTGTTACAACCTCTTCCCATTCCTGAGGTCCCATGGTCCACTTGTCTATGGATTTCATTGTAGAACTTCCTTTCTAATGGTTATACCACTATTCTCATGGTTGTTGACCGTTTTTCTAAAATGGCTCACGTCATCCCTCTCAAGAAATTACCGTCATCTCAAGACCTGGTACTGATCTTTATACGTGAGATTGTCCGTCTGCATGGCATTCCTCACAATATTGTATTTGATAGAGGTTCTCAGTTTGTATCCTGGTTTTGGAGGGCTTTCAATAAGCAATTGGGGATTGAATTGCATTTATCATCCTCTTACCACCCCCAGACTAATGGTACAGCTGAGAGGGCTAACTTTGGAGTTATACTTGTTTCGTTAATAGCACTCAAGACAATTGGTCTGAATTATTACCATGGGCCAAGTTTGCTAGGAACAATGCTGACCATGACTCCTCTGGACATAGCCCGGTTTTTGTTAATAATGGCTGGCATCCTACTGTCCTCCCGGCTGTGTTTTCTGATAATTCTATT